AAATTCCAATTTATTTGTCAAATTCCAATTTATTTGTCAAATTCCAATTTGTTTATCAAATTCCAATTTGTGAAATTCCAATTTATTTGTCAAATTCCAATTTATTTGTCAAATTCCAATTTGTTTATCAAATTCCAATTTGTGAAATTCCAATTTATTTGTCAAATTCCAATTTGATAAATAGCAAATTGGAATTTGCTGTTTGTCTGGATTAGTTTGGAAAAGAAATTTTACATTATAAATAATTTCTGTCGTCGGACCGTAATTCTTCCAGTTTTGTACAAACCTGACGTTTTGAAGAACACGTTGTGTAAACAGAGTACTTTTTGGGTAATTTCACCTAAAAGATGTCACCATTGTGTCACATTGTGGTTAACAAACCTCCAGTTATACACATATATAGATTAATTTGACCTTTTTGAGTTAAAAAAAGATCGCTCTTGTAAGTCACAGCTGGGCATATCTAGCTTTTTCACTTCATATTTTAAACTTGCATTTAAAATATTTTATCATAATTAAGATCATTTTAGCAGCTTTCTATTCACCTCACAATGCTCCCAGTACATTTCCTGTAAACTTATAGATAGTGAAAGGACATTTGATGTGAGAAATATAGAAAATCAATCATTAATGCATTTCTTTGTACGTCTGCCCACAAGTGAAAGGCCTTTTGACCAGCAGTTGTACAAGACCTCTTTCATAAGAACAAAGACGTCTTTTTCCGACAAAACGGCAAAAAAACACATTGTCAGAGCTTGAATCTGTTCCTGCAGTGTGAGTTCAGTCAGTTTCACCGGTTTAGTCAGCTGCTAGGGAATAATGGAGGGGAATGTTTTCGTCTCTGTGGCGATGATGATGATGATGATGTAAAGGTCAGCATAGTTTCACATCTCACTGCTGCTTCACAGCCATCTTGCTTTTAAAATAACCTTTATGTGAAGCTTTGTGATTTTATTCTTGTTCAGTCATTTACACCCTGATTATATAGCATCAATGTAATTATCATTGCTGGTAGTTTTATAATTTCCTTTACATTTTTTCTTTATTCGGCTTTTGTATATGTACATAAATGTACAGAGAAGAAAATCTTGTTTGAGATGTATTAATGACAATGTCTGGCTTTCTTTGCTTTTCACTGATATTACAGTTAGAAAAATGGAAAATTTAGTTAATTGGTAAATTTGATTTGTTAATGCATCATATTCTGAGGTCTCAACAAGGTTGCATTTTCAAAACCACAAATATTTTCCATCATAGCAGCCAGAGTTTTCTCCAGGTTCACAAAGCATGAACTTGAGGCTAATGTGTTCCCTTTGGCACCTGTTGCTGCTCACTGCCAATCAGCTGCTGAGTTTTTCCTCTTGCATCAAAAGACGAAAGCAGCTGATTGCACATTATTTTTGCTGTGAGAAACACAAACAGTCATGGATTGGAAATTGAAGGAGAACCAAGATGAGTTCAGAGTGAGCAGATGAAAATGGTATGTTAAGCTGACTGCAGGCCAGCAGCCTAACATCATCTTCTTGGCACTCTGGATGGCTCAATTTAGTTCATTTAGATCACAATAAGTGTCATCTAAGCTCACTTTACATGTGCAACCTCCTACGGATGAACAAGAAAAGCTTCAGCTGAGTTCCAGTCAAACAAAAAGAAACACCAGCACCTCATTCTGCTTTAGTGCTTTTTTTAAAGATTAAAAAACAATGAATAAGATACCTTTTAATAACACTTTAAAGGTCAGTTGTTACATTTCAGCAGCAATAGCAACATTTTTTGCTTTTCCCTGTTAAATCCTAGCATTAGTGTCATTTTGTAAATTTTTCATTAACATTTTGGTGCCAATGCTGTTGTGAAACTGACTCAAATACCACGATGCTTTTATTAAATCCAGCTGCTCCATTCTTACACTAATCAGCTGTCATATCAAAACTGATCATTATGTTCCTTTTAAGCATTTCAAAGTCATTCCCGTGTCTCCGCTCTATCTGCCAGATTATCCTCACAAGTACGGCTCAGAGGGAGGCTGTGCTGACCGCTCTGTGTTTGAAAGGATGAAGAAGTACCAGGCGTCTGCAGTCGAAGAGCCGAGCGATGTAAGTGCTAACATCACAACAAACCCGGCCGTCGTCTCTGATAGCTAAAAGCGCAGCTGGGCAAGGATGGTGGACGAGTGAACTTTGCTAAATCTGTTTTTTCTCTGGAGTTTCAGGAAATGCTCTTTACCTTTGATCTTTTTCCCCTCTCTAGACATGGATTGTGTTATTTAACAGAATAAAACAATCAGAACTGACCTGATGTGTTTGTTTTTTTCCCCCACAGGGGGTAAGCAGGGTGACAGAAGACGATGACGCTTACGGTCCAGTTATTCTGAGGAAAAAGAGGGCAGCTGGGAAGGACAAAAACACCTGCCAGCTCTACATCCAGACTGACCACTTCTTCTATAAATACTACGGCTCCAGGGACGCCGTCATCGCCCAGGTAGCCGCACACAGAAACAGGATCTGTTTGTAAAAGCATGTTATGATAAATCTGTTGAATTCTGTTGATTTTATTTACATAGCAGTGACTCTCAACTCCAAAAAACTTTTCAAGACAAACAGATCCAGTTGATCTACAGAAATAAATTCAATTCGTTCCAGTCACGGAAACAGATTGGTGTCATTTTCAGCACGCCTCGAAGTGACCCAGTCCCACATTTGGTCCTCATAGACGCCACGGATGAGGGGCTAATGAGTCGAGAGCTAACATTAGCCCCACATGGACTCGCAAACAATAACATTGCAGAACTTCTGGCGTCTGCAACGATGCTGGTGCTGTGAGAAACTGGATGAACTGAGGGTTTACACGTCACAAAAAATATTAGGAAGTGGATTGAAAATATAATGTGTTCTTGACCTACAGGAACATAAAAATCTTTTAAAAGCCTAGTTGGAAAATCTGGTGAGTTATAGCACTAACTGGTAGCTTTAAAGTGATTAAACTCAGAGATTTCAGTTTTTCTGTCAACATGCAAACGGTATTTTATTTCTCAAAATTCCCCTTCCCCTCTCCATTCCACTGTGTCAGGTTCATGTGATGCAAATAAAAACCTGCTCTTCCCCTTTGCAGTGGGGTGATGTTAAAGCATTTTATTAGCTTCTGTTTGTGCCTTACTGCTTATCTAATTAATTTCATTTTCTGCAGATCTCCAGCCATGTGAAGGCCATTGACTCCATTTACCAGGACACAGACTTCTTGGGCATCCGAAACATCAACTTCATGGTTAAAAGGGTCAGGGTGAGTTGAAGCTATGGGAGAGTTGGTGTAGAATAAGCTGAGCTCAGACAGATGATAGGATTTCAGGAGCCTGTAGTACGATGAAGCTTTCCCTTCTGAATTTTTAATTTGTAATTGTTGACCTCGTCTAGATCAATACCACAGAGAATGCCAAGGACACCACCAATCCTTTTCGCTTTTCTAACATTGGCGTGGAAAAATTTCTGGAGCTGAACTCTGAGCAGAACCACGACGAGTACTGCCTGGCCTACGTCTTCACCGACAGGGACTTTGATGACGGCGTGCTCGGGTTGGCTTGGGTCGGCGCTCCTTCAGGTCAGACACTGGTTCTTTTTTTGTTCTCCAGTGAAGTTTATGAACATTTTTCTCTTCATAAATGTTATGTGCTGCTTTTACATGTTTATCTGCTCCACTTTGGTTAGAAACAGTTTCATCCTGCATACTTAGGCATCATATGCAGGATGATGTTCTTTCTGCTTTGACCAGTCAGGATTATTGTTATTTTTTTAAATTCCTCATACAACAGATTAATATTAATGGTAATAAAACCATCAGTTCCAGCCCTAAAGTTAAATAATTTCTGAATAAGTATCCAACCAAAGTACTTGTTATAGTAAAATTGGAAGAACCTCTTTGATATTTGAAGTATTTATAAAACTGAGACCCATCTTAAATATAAAAGATGAACATTTACAGCACTGTTTTAAACAGCTGCTTAAGAGGCTGTTAAAATAAAAATACTGCGGATTATTGAAATTCTCAGGTAGCTTTTGTCTTTCTTCTCTTTCCAATTAAAAACGGGTCAAAGAACATGAAAACCCACAAAGTTCAGATCTGCTCAGTGGATTCTGCTTTTTAATAAACTTCACCTCAAATGCCAAAGCAGAATTATATTTGGAGCTTCAGAGGGAAATAAAAAAGTGTTGTTTTTCATGTCAAAGCATATATAATCCGTACACATTGACTGCTACTTGCAGTGCAGTTACAGCTTATGATGAGGAGGGAATAACAATTTTCACTCAGTGGTATTTTTATGTATGAGCAGTTTCTTGTCCTCTGAGAGGAGTTTTTATATCTTTTTCTCTTGTTCTACATCTGATCCATAAGCATTTAATTAAAAATGTTAAACACTTACTGAATGAAAAACCTTAAGAGGCATGAAAATGCACATAATTATAGTTCCCTAACATGTTAGGCAAACACAATCTGACACATTGCTTACATATTTCTAGGTGTCTGTGCAGTTTAACCTTTGGCATACACTCGTCCTTCATGTCGTAGATAATGCAGGAACAGTTTCATTTTAAGAAGCTTCATAGTTGATATTCACCTCAAAGCCCTCTGATCTTCTCCCAAATACTCTCTTCTTTATAGCTGCAGCTATTCACAGAGAAAGATAGTAATAGTAGAGTGAAACACATTTTCAAGAGTTTCTGATCTTAAGAGCAGAAAAGAAACTCAGACAGAGCGACTGGCAGAAGGGGAGACGTCACATCTGAGCTTTGTTTGCAGGCACTTCTGCAAATTGGTAGTTTTGTTTAGATAGACGCACCATATATCTGTGCTAATCATGTTTTCACTGGGTGTGGTTGCTTTTTTTTCCCCTACATAATCCTGTCAGATTTACTCAATAAACTATTAGCTGTTTTTTCTGTTACTAAACTGATAAAAAGACATTTAATCAAATTCCAGGTAACTTCTCTGTTATCTCACATCCCTGTATTGTTTTTTTTTTTTAATTGCCACTCAACAGGAAGCTCTGGAGGCATTTGTGAGAAAAGCAGGCCCTACTCTGATGGGAAGAAGAAATCTCTCAACACCGGTATCATCACTGTGCAGAACTATGCGTCACACGTCCCGCCTAAAGTGTCACACATCACCTTCGCACACGAAGTTGGACACAACTTTGGCTCTCCCGTAAGCCAGTCGAAACACTCAGAGCTCCTCCGTGTGTCCTGCAGGTAATTTAAGTGCTTCCTGTTTTACAGCATGACTCTGGGAGTGAGTGCACCCCTGGAGAATCCAAGGAGAAGTTGAAGAAGGAGTCGGGAAACTTCATCATGTACGCCAGAGCCACATCGGGGGACAAACTGAACAACAACAGGTTCTCCATCTGCAGCATTCGGAATATAAGCGCAGTTCTGATGAAGAAGAAAGATTCCTGCTTTGTTGGTAAGCTTTCTTTGTTTAACCGTGTTGAAAATCTTTTTGTGTGTTTGATTCTGTTTTAATCGTGCATCTCTGCTCAGAGTCTGGTCAGCCCATCTGTGGCAATGGACTGGTGGAAGCAGGAGAGCAGTGCGACTGCGGCTACAGAATTGACTGTAAGGACGAGTGCTGCTATAATGCCGACGAAGGGCCGGAATTAAAGTGCAAACTTAAACCTGGAAAAATCTGCAGGTATGGCTTTCCAAGAGTACAGCATCTTATCAAACAAACAACATCGTCATGGCCTAACTTTTTCCACTTTTAATTGCATGTGTGTAATGTTTCCCCCCCCAGTCCAAGCCAAGGCCCGTGTTGTACAACTAAATGTACTTTTAAGGATAATAGTGAGAGTTGCAGAGTGGCATCTGAATGTGCTCAAAAAGGCTTTTGCAACGGACGCGTTGCGCAGTGTCCAACCTCAGAACCAAAGGAAAACAACACCGCCTGCCACGAGGGGACACAAGTTTGCATCAATGGGGTACACAGTTAATTTCTAATGTGCTTCTCTGTGTAGTACAAGTAGTATTTGATGTAAAAAAAAAGAAATTCTGACGGTGTGTTTTAAATACAGACACTTCTAAAATGAGTTTGAAAGCAGAACGCGTCAATCGGTGACATTACTACATTACATTTTGGACACTTATTTTACACTTAAATTGCTTAATTGCTGATATTTTAAACTCTTTTGGCAAAAGTAAAACTAAGGAAAACTAATGTCAAGCAGCAAATGCAGAAGCAAGTGTTACTTTTTCAACTTTCTGCCCAAATCATTCTTCACCTTTAACCTTTAAATGCACATAAACACTGACAGTGACCAGACACACATATGTTAGGATGACTAAATGTGCCTCCAAGAGGAACTACGTGACTACAAATAAAAATAGGAACAATACTCTCTGTGTATTCTGTTCATTAAGTCATTTTTTCTTGCCTCTTTGTGTACTAGATCTGCTCTGGTTCTATTTGTATGAAGTACGGTCTGGAAGTGTGCACCTGCGCCAGTAAAGACAACAAGAACGAAGCAGCTGAGCTCTGCCATGTTTGCTGCCAGGAAAAAAGTGAGTAGATCTAACAGGAGTAATCCTCACTCGGACGTATTTGTTGTATCACAGCCTGAAAATTAATTAGCTACTCAGTGCTATTCTAATTAATAACATACATTAATTCTAATTAATAACAGACATTAATTAGAATAGCTCAAATTACTTTAATAAACCAGTTTCTTTGTTTCTGTAGTTTTTTTCTTTCTCATTTAAGCAACATGGTGTGAGGTTTTACTTTGCCTTTATTTCATCCAGACGATGCCAGCACCTGCAGCAGCACCGGTTCAGAAAAATGGGCTAAATTCTTTAATAAAGAAGTGAAAACGCTGCCGCCTGGCTCACCCTGCAACGACTTTAAAGGATACTGTGACGTCTTCAAGAAGTGCCGACTGGTGGACGCCGACGGGCCGCTGGCCAGGCTGAAGAAAGCGTTTTTAAACCCAGAGCTGTATGAGAACATCGCAGATTGGATTGTGGTGAGTGTCTGCAGCACACCTGTTTCACACATAAGAAATACAGACAAATTTCCATTAAAGCAAACACGTCGACCCTTTGACACGTTTTATATTTCCTGCTGTACAGGCTCACTGGTGGGCTGTGCTGCTGATGGGAGTTGCTCTCATTATGCTGATGGCGGGTTTCATCAAGATCTGCAGCGTTCACACACCCAGCAACAACCCCAAACTTCCCGAACATAAACACCTCACAGGTACAATGACGCATTGACCCTTTGCAACTACGTCACCTAATCATTCGAGGCGCCATGATGGACGTGGGAAGAATAGGACGAGTTCAGATGATTTCCTGCGTTTTGGTGCAGCTCATGCAAAAACTGAGACATTTCACAGAGGGAGACAGAAAATTGGGGCTTACTAATTTAAAGTTTCTAGAAACTCCTGAAATGTTGGCAATGATTATGTAAACTGTGATTTTGAACTAAAGTGGTGAATTTTTCTTAAATTTTCAGTGTGGGATTTTTCTGCTGCAGCAAAGGAAGAATTTATTTTAAGGCTTTTTACAAATGTTTGCTAAGGGTGCCAAAAAGATATACGTTTGTGTCTTTTGTGGCTTCTGATGAGTAAAAAAAAAAAGTTACATTTGTGCTAAAATGCTTGTACTACTTGTTTGTTTTATGACATTACTATCTGTAAATCCTCGTTTTGCTGAGTCATTTATCTTGAGTCTCTCTGACATGAATCTTGCAGATACACTAAGAATAAACAGAGGTCAGCGACAGCAGCACCAGCAGCAACGACGAGGTCAGCATTACCAACCACGGTCCGGAGAACGGGTATTGATGCAACCCCTGAGGCAATGAGACGACTCTCTGCTCCTTGCCTTTGTTCTTAGTGCCTACAACAGGAGCACTTTACTCCAAAGAGTTACCTTTACCACAGAAATCAAATTTCAAAGAACTTTGAACCGAAGATGTTTTATTGTGGGGGCTGCTGTCTTCTCCCTCCTCTTCTCTGAGAGCCAGTTTAATAATGGTTCACAAAGCTTTTATAGGAAACAAATCTTTCAAGGCGGGATGAGTTTGCAGTTGTTTTTCCATGTGGTCTTAATTATCTCACTTTGTTTCTTTCAAAGATTTTTTTTTTCTCATCGTTTATGAGAACGGATGGTTATGATTTTGTTAGTGTGGCCTTAATTTTCTTCTTTTTTTTTCTCGCCATTTGCAATTGTGTCTGTCCTGCATCTTTTCCATCATCAGCATGATGGCAGCTGAACGTCGTTACATGAGATTTAGCTGCCGGTTTAAAAAAAAAATCGTATTGACATCATTGCTGGAGGATTTATTTTTTTCAAACCAAATGCATTTGATTTCTAATTTAAGCATCCTAATTGTTTGGTGTAGAGTTTCTCTCCCTTATTTCAGAGAAAAAACATATTTCTTAGGGGATCTAAGTTGTCTACTGTTCTAATTCACTTTCTCAGGATTACTAATAGCGCTCAAGTGTAAAGATGGTTGCATGCATATCTTAAAAAATGCATGAAAACACGGAGTCACCGCTAATCTGAGGGTCAGACTCTGCAGACTGTTTTGCACTTGCTTTTGTACACAGAACTGAAAGAGTTTGAGAAACTTGTTTTTTATCCAACAGATTGTTCCACGGTTTTACTTCATCGTAGCAAATTCATCATTCATCTGTAGTAAGTTAGTAAGCTGTTAAAGAAAAAGGCCAAATAAAACCACCTGAAACCAGTCGGTTCAGTTCTTTTGGTTTGAATGTAAATAGGGATTTTTCTTTCTTTTAGTGAAATATATTGCAGTTCAGATGACTTTGTACATGTGGAGGAACTGAGTCTGACGGGGGGTAGATTGTAAATTTTAATCGCTTTGCCGCTGCTGACATTATGTGAGAGCGAACAATCAGTATGTCTTCTGCTAATCTCCTTTTTTTTTCTTTTTTTTTTACTCTGCGGTTTTCAACTGAAAAGCTTTATTGTCCTCTTAGTTTGTGCAACTGCTTGAAAATGTGCCTACGTTAAGCAGCATGACTGCCAAACATGAACTGCTGAAATTCAAAGGTTTGGAAATATTTGAGAATATGGTGTACATAAGCTTGTTCTTCTTCTTTTTTTTTTTTTTTAAGCCAAATCTTTAACTTCTTCTGACTCCCAGATTCCCTTGTAACGTCATTTTAAATCCCAGGTTGAACTTCAGTGGTCCTCATTCAGGATGTTCTTCATATCACCTTTAAAGAGACGAGTGGGTGAATCTTTGGTTTGAGGTGTTGCTGAAGAGTAAAGAGCTGCTGTCCGGAGAACTGCTGCAACCCAAAGTTGTTTCTCATATGCAAAGAGCCAGGTTCCCACTGATCAGCCTATGCAGAGAATCAGAGTTCATCAGTGAACAAGCTGGCCTCATCACAGAGAAATAAATGCCTTCTGCGTTTCTAAACCAGAACACAGGAAAGGTTTTCATGCACATGTTGGGAAAAAAAAAATCTTACAAGACGACAAAAAACTTTTTTTTTTTACTTACTGATTAGCTTTTGGTGCTGATGGTGTTTATTTTATTATTCAGACATTTATGGGTGTATTCTTTTTTTTTTTTTTCTATGTTGAAGCCGTATGATATGGGTGATCCTATATCATACTGCTGTAGGTGGGTTGATATCTCTGGGAAATGTGTTTATTCCTTGTGATGTGAAAATGTGCACTGACATAAAAGCAACCGAATCCAACAAAGGTAAAGATTCAGAGCTGTGGTCTTATTTTAACGCCTCCTGTCTTTTTGTTCCACGTTTCAGTGCAATTCTTTTCGTTCTGTGTCACATCTGGCTTAGTTTGAACATTTTACAAACTTGCAAGAAATGTGCAAAAACCTAATTTCTTTACAACTACTTGAAATAAAGTAATAAACTAGAACTGATCAAAATGCTTCTTGATGCGTTTGTAATAAAAAATAAAGTGTGTTTAAATTGTATACACGGCTTTTATATTAGAATAATATTCAATGTGTTACAGTTCAACGATGACTGTTGGCCACTAGAGGGAGCTGCTGACTCAAGTTACCAAAAAATCACAAGGCGTTTAAGAGCTGTTTCATTCTTCTGTTTCAGTATCCGTCTCCTTAAATTATCACCTGTGAAGCTTTTGTATCGTTAATTTTTTCCCCCACTTGAAATCTGTATTTGCTGCTGGACCTTTGAGTCTCAAATTGGCTGCTGAACTTGCTCAGAAAGTTAATGATACAAAGTCTCCATTGAAAAATATAATTGGGGAAGTTGTGATGAGACTTTTACACCCAAGAACATTGTTCCAGTTTTCAAGCACGGTGGTGGTGGCATCATTGTGAGGGTCTATTTCACTGCTAGTCATACTGAGAAGAGGAACAACTTCTCCATTCTTCCACTTAATACATTTTCATCTACTTGCTTGAAACCAAACTGGCTGTTCTAACAGGAAAGTATTATCTTTTTTTTATTATTTCTAAGCAATTATGAGGAATGTAACTTCAAACTACAGCTCATAATCGCCTCCCATAGACAAACAGTATAGGCATATCATACATTTTCTGACTTCTTAGTCTGTTGAGTATTTTAGTTAACTCTTGTGTCCCTGGATACCACTGGGATAAAAGAAATGTATCTAGTTTGGCCAAAAGGTGTAGGAAAATGTGTATTCTTTTTGGTTTAACGAGCTCTAGTGATCTCTGTGTTGGCCAGAGAGACTCATAACCTGGTTTAAATTAAAGCCAAGAGTGTCCCCTTTAAGAAGATACCAAACACTATATTATAGACCTTTGACAAATGCCCATACCATGAGCCTAAACCAGACACACCAGTCTCAAAAAACTGAATTTTTCCAAAGGGGTTGTTTACTTCATGAGCTGATAACTATGACTCAGCTACCATTTAGGAAGGACTATTGTACCAAAATATCAACTGGAGACATGTATCTTTTCAAAAAATATCGATAGACTTTGCAACCCTGAAATGAACAAAAATGTCAAATTTTTGCCTCTGGCCCATGGACGAGAATTCAGCCGTAAAGTTTTGTTTTTATTCAAACTTAAGCAGTTTTCTAGTTCTGCTGACATCATGCAAATTGATGTCACAAAGAACTGATGTCACTCTTGTGGAGTAAGAGTGACATCACAGAGCTGCATGGTCATAACCATTGCAGAAGTGCAGAGCAAGTAGAAGGATTGTCTGCTCAGAAGAGATTGAACACGAAAGCTTTTCAAGCTAAAGAGGCAATTTCTAACAAAAAAAGGAAAACATTGAGCGCTTTTTGGATTTCTCTAGACAAAACAGATTAAGAATGAGCCAGAACAGTCAGGCGTCGTCTTCTTATTCAACACAACAAACTTTAGCTATCGACACACAGAAGCTCCAAACTATCTTGAAAGACGTCAGCAGAATGTCTATCGAGAGACAGACTCTGATCATAGCAAACGAGGAGTTGAAGATTCAACTTATGAAAAAAGAAAAAGCTGTACTTGAAAAAGATGAGCTGCTTTGCGAAAAAGGAGAGCAACTAAAGAAACTGTTTGAATTAAACAGAAATTTAAAGGAGGATAATGCCACCCTGGAGCAGAAAAACACTGCCCTGGAGAAGGAAATGGCCTCCTTGGAGCTGAAGAGAAGTATCCTGGAGCAGAAAAATACCATTCTGGAGCAGAAATGCACTGCCCTGGGGAAGAAAAACACTGTCTTGGAGCAGAAAAACACAGACCTAGAGCTGGAGAATACTGCCTTTGAGGTGACAAATGCTTCCCTGGAGATGGAGAATACTGGCCTGCTGAACCCCAGTGCTTCGTGTCAAGTCCTATAGGTCTCCCGGCTGACCTCGAGGGATTTGTTTCGAGTCCCATTGGTCTCCTGGCTGACCTCCAGGGCTACATGTCGAGTCCTATAGGTCTCCCGGCCGACCTCGAGGGATTCGTTTCGAGTCCCATTGGTCTCCCGGCCGACCTCCAGGGCTACATGTCGAGTCCTATAGGTCTCCTGGCCGACCTCCAGGGATTCGTTTCGAGTCCCATTGGTCTCCCGGCCGACCTCTAGGGATTTGTTTCGAGTCCCGTTGGTCTCCCGGCTAACCTCTAGGAGTTCGTTTCGAGTCACATTGGTC